CCCATTCCAACCCATAAACCTAAATGTTTAAGGTCAATCCAAAGGCAAGAGACTTCTTTTTTCATGTTTTAAATTCTTTCTTCCCCAAGATTATGAATGATGCAAAAATTTATGGAGCGTACAGTTTATTACCATGTTAATGGGGCCCCTTGTTTATATCCTGCGACATATGCTCAGAATCACTAGGAAACGGCCCTGTTTTTAAAGAATAAACTGAGAGGCAATTAGAGACATTAGGTTTAATTATTGTGGAAAATCTTTGGAAGAAATTATCACTTTCAACACCAAAATGAAAAGTTTTAAAATTGACAACCCAATGTTTAACTGTTGCATATGAAGGGCCACTGTCACCCATAGTTTGTGGCATGTCATCATGGATCTGCTTTACACCTTTCCCTTGGAGAAATAGGAACTTGATTATGGTCTTATGCCCTTTCATACTGAACTTTTCTGGAGGTGCTGCCATGTTCACTTTGGACTTGAACATGAAAGATAAGTTAAAATCATAGGTAGTTGATTTTTGCACCATTGAATACAGACAAATTGGCCAATACACCCTGCAAATTATAGCTTTCTAGCTCATTTTTTTCTGGGAAAGGCTCAATACTTATCAGCACTCCTTCTTATTTAGTTCCCCACTTCTGTAACAACTCTTGATCTGTAATATTCACTTGGATACAAGTTATTCATAATTGTAAACTATACTGTGAATGTGGACATACCACTGATTTATATGCCTTTTAAATTTTTAATTATTTTCCTGGTAATTCTTAATGTTGACTTGCTCTGTTTACTGTCCCAGCACTCTCAACTGACATTTTCTATAAGCTTTCCACTATGACTGTTAACCTTTTCTTCTCCTCAGCCATACTAGTTTAAACCCTGCTTGGGGGGGGGGGAGTAATTTGATGTCATTTACAAATTGTTATTTAAATCATTAACATGCTTTGTTTTGTTTCTTTCCAGTACCGACACAGCTTTTCACCAATCGCTGCCCCAATGAATGTCTACACTAGGTCCAAAGCCTGGAGTGACCTACCTGAAGAGTGACACCATTCAGAAACCACTGTAAGTTATCTGAGTATCCTATGTAAAAATGTTATTTTGTGGACAAATGGAAATGGAAAGAATCTGGGGTTTTGCATGGAACAAGAGGCCATCATATACTTTTACGTATTTATTTTTACTGTGCAGGTACACAAATTCCAGAGGCCAAGGGGCTGCACTTGCCCATCTCAAGATCCAGTTTTCATTTTGTGAAAGGCAATATTAATTCAGGTTTATAAATCATCTGCACTTTAAACTGTTAAAGCAATCAACTTTATGAACTTTTTTATGATCAAAAGCAAGGGGTTGTTTGTACATGTTTTCCATCCTCTTGAATCCTAGATGAAACTTGTGTTTTTCTTTCCTTTATTCATGTGCTCAGAATAAATACATTACTTCATAGTTTAGGCAAACCATAGTTTATTGTAGATTCAGACTAAAGTATGGTTTGCACTGGCTCAGATTCATACCATTGTTTACCATCCTAATTTGGAGGATAAACAAATACTGTGCTTGGTTGTTTTGCATTAAGTGGCAGACTGTACCATAGTTATTAGAATGTAATTGACTCAAAGTAAAAAGAGGAGATGAACACACGGGCCTACATCCAAAGATATTAGTGCAACATCAATTGCACCTTTTTAGACTTAGCACATATAGTTTCTGATGTCCGATATTTGGGCAAGAGATTGTGTATCTGCTTATACAACCTCTATGCAGTTACAGTGGTGCCCCGCTTGACGCTTATCCTGCATGACACTGAAATCGCTTTACAATGAGCTTTTTGCGATCACTATTGTGATCATAAAACGATGGTTCCAATGGGTTTTTTCGCTTGACGTTGATTAAGAGCCTGCTTCGCGAACCGTTTATTCGCTAAACAACTATTTTTCCGGTTCCACAAAATTGCTTCCCTTCGTAAAATGGCTTCCCTCCCTTCTCAAAATGGCTGCTTTCCAGACCCCTGCTTCTGAAGACAGCGTTTTCTCTATGGGCAATCTTCACTGGACGATGAGGTATTTCCCCATTGGGATGCATTGATCAGTTTTCAATGCATTCCAATGGTGTTTTTTTGTTGTTGTTGTTGTTTTTTGCTTGACAATGATTTCGCTTAACAGCGATTTTCCTGGAACGGATTATCGTCGTCAAGCAGGGCACCACTGTACTTGTACACTGGTGTAATCCTGTGCAACTGATGGATGATTTTTACTCTGTTACAATTTTATTGGGTCTGGAATCAGAATTTTAGAGCTTGAAAGAACCCCAAGGGTTATCATGTCCAACCCCCTGCCGTTGCAGGAAATCCACAGCTAAAGAATCCAACTCTGCTTAAAAATTTCAAGTGAGGGAGTCCACAACCATTTCAGGCAGGTAATTCCATGTTGAAATGGTTCTCATTGTGAGGAAGTTCTTCCTAATATTTAGTCAAATTCTCCTTCCTTGTAACTTGAATCCATTACTTCTGGTCATATCCTTTTGAGCTGCAGAACACAAGCCTGCTTCATCTTCCATGTGATAGCCTTTCTAATACTTGAAGATGGCCGTCATATCACCTCTCAGCCTTCACTCCAGACTAAATGTGCCAAGTTCCCTGAGCGTTTCCTCAGAGCAGCTCATGGCACAGTGGTTAAACTGTTATACTGCAGCTAAAACTGTGCTCATGACCTAGGGTTCAATCCCAGGTAGCTGTCTCAAGGTTGACTCAGCCTTCTGGCTTCCGAGGTCAGTAAAATGAGTACCCAGCTTTCTTGGGGGGGGGATGCATAGCCTGCATAATTAACTTGTAAACTGCCCAGAGAGTGCTTGAAGTGCTATGGGGCGGTACATAAGTAGCACACTTTGCTTTTGCTTTGCTTTGGTTTCCTTTTACCATTCTGGTTGCCACATTCCAGCTTTTCAATATTCTTCTGAAATACTGTAGATGAGGTCTCACCAGAACAAAGTAGTACTTTTCTTGATCTGGACACTGTTCTGTTAATACACCATAGTATATTTCTTGCTTCTTTCTCTCTCTTTCTTTCTTTTTTTCGCAGCTTCTGCTGCATCAAACTGTTGGCTCATGTTTAGCGTATGATCTCCAAAAATCCCTAGATCCTTTTAACATGTACTATTTCCAAGCCAACTTTCACCCATCCTATAATTTGTGCATTTCATTTTTCCTGTCTAAGTGCAACACTTTAAAGTTTTCTCTGTTTGTTTATATTGTCCCAATTCTCTAAACTGTTAATGCCACTTTTAATTCTGATTCTTTGTTCTGATGTATTAGTTGCCCTCCTAATTTGGTGTCATCTGCAGATTTAATGAGCATCTCCTCCACACCCTCATGAAAGCCAGATGTAGGAAAAAACCCTGTTATACTCCACTTGTCATTTTCCTCTAGGATGATGAGGACCCATTTGTGAGTACTCTTTGGGAGCAGCCTATCAACTAGCCACACATCCATCTAACTGTAGAATCAGCTAGCCCACATTTTACCAGCTTGGGCACAAGAATATCTTGAGAGACCTTGTCTTACTAAAGTCAAGATTCACTACATCCACAGCATTCCCTTTAACCACCAAGGAGCCTGGTGTCTTGAAACAGAAGAAGGCTAAGCATAAGAAGGTAACTTCTCCATCCAGTCTGACATCTCCATCACATTTATTGGTCTCAGCTTTTGTGTGCAAGACTGCTCAGCTGTTCTCTTGGATTACACTCAGTACAAATTTGACATCACCTTCTCTTCTATCCTTTACTTTAGTCTCTGTTGCTTCAACTGATTCTTTGGCATTGACCTTGGACTCAGTACTGAAAATGGCTTTGCTACATTTTTTTGTCTTCCTTTGGCCTCATGGTCCAGTTACTCTTCCTATTGCATAACATCTTCTGCATGAGCTCCATTCCCGAAGGAAAAATCCTTGAATGTATTTCATCCTGAGCATTTCCTCATATGTTCTTCTGGAATTGGGGACTGCTCTGATTGCAGGCACCATCATAACTGGCAAAATGACATATTCAGGCAGCTAGGAGAGAGACGTCTCCCTCAGTTTGGAATCTCAAACCTCTAATGACCAATGGGAACCATATACTTACCCCGCCACAATTAATATCAACCTCGGTCCCCTTCCTGATATGGGTACTCACTTTCTGTTAGCTGCTACTCCTCTTTGTACCAGTCAGCATATCTTTTGTATTTTTGGACTGCAGTGCACATAATTCTCCAGGAACTCTCCACCAGAATTCTGGGAGGTGCCGCTCAGAAATATCTACCCCCATTGGTGCCTGTATCTACTTTAAAAAATCAGGAAGTCTTTCCAGTGTTACCTGTAAGTTGGGAGTTGCAGTTCTTTGGAAAACATCTTCTGTAGAGTATGATGGCCGCTGAGACTATGATTCTCAGCCTCCTCAGCATCCAGGAGGGCCCCCTGCTGATCAGTCACATGGCAGCAGAAGTGATTCAGTGACGAGCAGGATCACATCACAAGATGAGACAACCCAGACTTAGATTTCTTTGCCTCAGAAAAGAACAAGAACTCTTTACAGCACATACAGACTCTGGTGTGTGTTTCTGCCATTCCCTTTCCTGATCAAAATCATTTTCTTACTCAAAGATGATCTTTGATGCTACTGAGGAAGAGCAGAAGACAAGTACAAGTAACTCCAGAGCTAATGAAGTGGATGGGCCAAAGCTGAAAGGACACTCAGCTGTGGACACACCTGGAAGTGAAAGAAAAGTCCAATGCTGCAAAGAAAAATACTGCATAGGAACCTGGAATGTAAGATCTATAAACCTTGATAAGCTGGATGTGGTCAAACAGGAGATGGCAAGAATAAACATTGACATCTTGGGCATCAGTGAACTAAAATGGATGGGAATGGGCAAATTCAATTCAGACCATTATCATATCTAATACTGTAGGCAAAAATTCCGTAGAAGAAATGGAGTAGCCCTCAGCACCAACCACCAAGGCTGCAGAGGCTGAAATTGACTAATTCTATGAAGAGTTACAATACCTTCTAGAACAACATCAGATGTGCAGATGATCCCACTCTGATGGCAGAAAGTGAGGAGGACTTAAAGAACCTCTTAATGAGGGTGAAAGAGGAGAGTACAAAAATGGTCTGAAGCTCAACATCAAAAAAACTAAGATCATGGCCGCTGGTCCCATCACCTCCTGGCAAATAGAAGGGGAAGATACAGAGGCAGTGACAGATTTAACTTTCTTGGGCTCCATAATCACTGCAGATGGTGACAGGAGCCACAGAATTAAAAGACTCTCGCTTCTTGGGAGGAAAACGATGACAAACCTAGACAGCATCTTAAAAGGCAGAGACATCACCTTGCCGACAAAGGTCTGCATAGTCAAAGCGATGGTTTTTCCAATAATGATGTATGGAAGTCATAGCTGCACCATAAAGAAGGCTGACCACCAAAGAATTGATGCTTTTGAATTGTGGTGGAGGAGGAGACTCTTGAGTCCCCTGGACTGCAAAGAGAAGAAATATATCCATTTTGAAGGAAATCAACCCTGAGTGCTCACTGGAAGGACAGACCCTGGAGCTGAGGCTTTAATACTTCAGCCATCTCATGGGAAGAGAAATCTCCCTGGAAAAGACCCTGATGTTGGGAAAGAGTGAAGACAAGAGGAGAAGGGCATGACAGAGGATGAGATGGTTGGACAGTGTCATCGAGGCTATCAACATGAATTTGACCAAACTCCAGGAGGCAATGGAAGACAGGCGGGCCTGGCGTGCTCTGCTCCATGGGATCACGAAGAGTCAGACACGACTTAACGACTAAACAACAAAATAACCTTTGTAATGGAAGCTGTCAGGGGCAGTGAGACAGGGTGAAGTTAATTTTTTTGGAAATTCAAGACTCCACCCTATCCTATAACCCCCAGCAGCTTTTCCACAATACAAGTGATCCCAAGGTATCATCAGGATCTGGAGCATAGAGAGAATCAGACATTTTATCATTCTCAAAAATTGCAATGGCTGATGACATAATCATCTTTCACAGTGTTACTCTTCATATAGAA